TCAGAATGTAAGGGAAAAAATTCAATTGTTAATGCTAACTCAGCAATTTAAAAATTAAATTTTTTTGCACAGCTGCCATTTAATATCATCAATCATGTTTAATTAGAGAAGTAGAAAGAAGGTTTTAATTTGTCGACTGTAACCATTATCTAAGACTTGCCTTTTAAAAACATCCCATGTTTGTTCCAATCCTTATTACACACGATTTCTTACATCCAAAACATTTTGATTTAGAATTTGAATCATTTATCATGTTGAAAAAAAAGCTGTAACTTTTCCCTGTGTTAACATTTCAGCGATTTGGGGGGACGGGGAAGCTGATAGGCCTTTCGCTGTAAAGAATTAAGAAATTATATAATTTTAGATATTTTTTACGAATTTTGTAAAGAAATTAAAAATGAATGAAAAAATTAATAGTCGCAAATAAATTTTCAGCAGCATCGTTATATAGGATTTATTTTCAATATTCTGTCTTTGTCTCAAATTTATAATTGATCGTCTTGGTTTAATTTTCACAGGAAGAAGTACAGTCAATTATATAAAATTAATGTATGTTCAAAATATTCTTTGGCTTCCAAACATGAAAGATCTCTCCCCCCCTTCGCTCTACATAACGTGCAATTTATAAACACTTTTTTTAAACTCATATAATTTTTATTCTTACGTGTACATAGTCGTTGACTTTTCTTTTTAAGGCAAATCGCTCTTCGAATTTTCGGGTGCGGTTTAGTGGTCTATAATTCGGGAATTTGGAATATTTAACCATTATTATTTGTACGGAGATTAACTCTACTGAGTACTTTAGGGATATAAAATGGAAAGAAGGACCTTTTTCGTAGCAGAGAATGTGCTATATGTAACCATTTTTTTTCACATAATATTAAATACAGATTTTTCTTTTGAGTTGCTTATTTTCAAGGGAAAAAAAGGGGGATGGGAGTGGAACAAAAGCCTTCTTTCCCACAATTATATTTTCAGAATAGCTCTGTATTAGATTTAGACATAATAGCAGATTCTTCTTTGAAACACTGTATTGAAATTTTCAGATTCAACTTTTTAAAATTTATTAATATACCTTAATTCGGATATTTGGAGTTCTCCTGCACTTCCACTTGGTATCGTCATACAGTTGGAAAGCATTTTATCCTTTTTTTATTGTAATGTCTTTTGGAAATGGCCCCCAAATTCGCGCCGTTAAGCGAACTTCAGCGTTCCGAGAGGGTGTTTTTCTCCTGGTAGCTCTCTCTAAGCTGGCTGAAATAGATAGTAACTGTACACATCGATCACCCTCCTCATTTTCTTTTGGAGTATTATGGTTTTTGCTGGCAGGACACATTCCACTAGAACATTAAAGGATTTTCTTTTTCGTAAACGACTTGCAATTTTATTATTATCCTTTTGCAACAAGACACTTGAGTTGTAACAGGCATCTTTATTATATCCGGCATAGAAAAATTAAAGTAATAAATCTATAATAGTTGTACGTATAATAAAGCATCTCACATACATTTTTATATCCCTTAGTAACAATCATAATCGGAATCGTTTAAAATAAACTAATTTAACAGTTTTTTACATAATGCTTCCCATATTATTTTCTGCTAGATTTATATGTTCAAGCTAAAAGATGCATCCAAGAGGGTAGATGATTAATGTATCAAGCAGTATGTTTAAGTTATGGAAATTTTTAATTTTACACGAAGAAGAGCATAATGTATGTGTAAATTTTAACAATTATCGGCTAATTTTTAACATCTTGAATTTATTATTATTATTACGACCTCGCACGCAATAGTATTTGCCAACGAAAGGCATGCCCGTGGAGGACTTTTAAGAGAAACTGCCTCGTATCCATATTACTGATAGGGAAAACTACGAAATTAATTCACGAAAACTGCCATGCAACCAGCCGCCGGGATTGGAATCCCAAACCGAACAAGCGCTTAGCAATTTTACTCTTGAGGCGCTTTTTATTGAAAAATATTTCTTTTCGCAGGCAAGAATTTATATATATATATATATATATATTAAATGGATATTTCTTAGTAACTTTTAATAAAAGTTTCTTATTTCTTTTAGTTTTTTCTTATTTCTTAGTAACTTTTAATAAAAGTTTCTTATTTCTTAGTAACTTTTAATAAAAGTTTCTTTTAATTTTCCAATTTACCTTTTTTTTTTTTTCCCCAGGTTTTATAAGCATTTTTTAGGACTGCAGTAATCTTAGCGTTTAACTTCATTTGAAAATTTCGTGGGATTCTAAAAACGATTAGAAAAGAGTTGTGTCTGTAAAATTTAAATACATAAAAAACAGACAGCTAATGAAACAAAATATTGCGAAAAAGGCGACCAATAAATAAAAGCGAAAGTGCACTGAAATTGAATTTCAGATTAAGTTATGTAAAGTTAGTCTTTATCCATCAAAACGTTTTCTTCTACAATGCATATTTTTTTTTTCTGCTAGAAAATATAAGTTTTAAACAAATTCTGTGTAGAATTTTTCTATCTACAGCACATAAATTTTAAAGCAAATTTTGTAGTTTGCTTATAAATGTATACTTGGGAGAATTTTTTCCCTGCCCTGAATCCTGTGTGGTTAATAATACTAATAATCTAAATGAAAAGGATTGGTCAAGAATCGGAGAATTTTGCAAGAAGTAATTCTCATTCACAGAACAAGCTCTTTACTTACAAATTACGCAATACGTATTGCAAGTGAATTACCGTATTAGCTAGACTGTAACACAGCTTCACGTATAAACACCTCTGATTTTGAATCTGCAAGAAGAAAAAAGAAAGCCACTACTAGGCTTTTACTTCTTAAGTTTCTTTTCTCTAAATAAAGAAGGGGATTCTACGCGAGCAGTTTTAAAAAATGAAAAATCTGACGTTATATAGCTCAGATAAAAGCACAATCAGAATAATATTCATTATGCCAACATTAAAGTTAAATGTAAAAAATTCCTTACATTTACGTACAAAATTAATAGGGATGTTGGACGGGGATGACTTAAATCGCTTTTGAATACATATTTTTGCTCGAAATTAAATATTCTGTTAAGTTTTCCAACCCAAGAAAACAACTGTTAAACGGATGAATCTTCATTAATAAAATTGCACCGAAGAAACATCACTAGTTATTAGGTTTACAGTGTGCTCCTAGAACTTATTTAATTTGCAATGAACTCACTGAATTTTGCATGTAAAGTTACAAAACATTCTTCATTTAACTAACGATGGATATTTTTCTAAATGACCGAGCTCCGTAGTCTACGGGACCATATGAAAAGTTAAATTTAGTATTTTTAAAGATATTCTATAACCCAGTGCTAAAACGTTTTCATAATATTTTCCACCTTATTTATTGAAGCTTTGTAATTCATAAAAGAAAAATGCTTTCCATTAACGTCAAAGTTGAAGGATAAGTAACAAATTACTCACTAACGTTTAAGATATTGTACGGTTTTTCTCGCCTATATATGAGGAAAGGACAGTTAGTTAAAGGGGGTAATTTTCGTATTGTATTCGGACAAATGCGGTCCATTCGGTATAAATAAGAAATACGTATATCATAACAAATTGTAAATTGTTGCTTGTCAGATTACAAAAATTAGGAACAAAAATCAAAAATAGATATTCAAGCAACAGATATTATATCTAACATGCGCTAAGAATCGGAACATCAAAACCAAACTTGTTTTCAGTATTAAAGTATAAATGTCATATACATAAAAATTCATCCATGCAAATATATTAAGGCAAGACCAACTAAAAACAAATAACTACTACTCCACCAAAAATTGGTATTCAGTTTGGTTTAATTTGTTATGTGCAAAGTTTAGTAATTAGTAAAATAATACTTATTTTTTTTTAATAAGTGACCTATTTAAATTTATCAGATAAAAATTATTTCCTTTTAACTTTTTGATAGAAGACTTTAATTTCACGATCGAGAAATATAATAAGTACAGATCATTTGTTATTAAAAACAATTAAATCATGAGCTAATAAGATGCACATTTCCAAGGACGATGCAAAAGAAAATAAGTCTATAACTGGTTCCCGACGATGAAATCAATCGGATATATTTCCTTTTTCCTTCGGTATTTTGTTAAACTAAGTAATAAGATAAAGTTGGGAAGTGAATTCATTTCATTTCCGTTAAACATTGTACCATCTAGATATGCATTATAATCTGCTGCGCTAGACAACCGCATAAGCACTATGTTTGCTTGATGGAAATTGTGCTATAAGCCACAAAATTTCCGATTTTTTGGCATGCGGCACAATTCTCACCGATCTGTTGGTCGATTTTCGTCTACTGAGCGTTTAAGCCATTCGGATGTATTTTCCAACCATTTTTCTACATTTATTTTTATTTATATTACAATTAATCTGTAACTGATATATTATATTCTGTAGATCTATCTATAAACAAAATTATACTCTTTTTCAAAAACTTCTCGAATGTCTTATCAACTTGTAGAATAACTGATAATTTTCTTTTACGATAAAATACACAGAACACTTCTGCTGAAAATGGAGATATACATAATATATCCTATATTTAAAAATATTAATAATTAGTAACCCTAGATGCTTGGCTCACTGCAACCTGTATCATTTCCAGGTAAAGGCTTAATTTTAAAAGGTAATACAAACAATATTTAAAAATACATAAAATAGTATTGCTTTACATTTTTCTCTCCTTAATCCTTCAAACTAGGAGCAAAAAATACATCTCTTTTAATGACCCTTCAAAATGATTCGAGTGCATTTAAAAAAGTATTTGCTTTGCTTTCACGATTAGCAACAACTGTGTTCAGTAATTACCAATTTTTTTATCTAAAAACAAAAACAAATAAATTCATATCTTGGAGTGGAGAAATTTAGAAGATATTTTCAACATTGAAAACATTTAAAAAATGAAATACCTGAGTGTTCGAAGAATAATAAAGAAACTGAATTATAGGTATAAAATTAAGTAACAAAAAGTCACTTACTCTGCGCTTCGTCTCCGCTGTTTAACGAATGTGTAATCCATTTTTAATTCCTGGTAAGTAATCCTTAATTACGTCGATATAAAGGAAACTGGATGATATCACAGAACTTTTCCTTCCACAGTGATGGATAGTAAATCACTTTTATATGAATAAATTTCAAGTCTTCAGTCCAGTTATATTAAATAATCACTGGCGATACCCATGTCGAAAAATCATCAAATCCTTGTTTATTTTTGTACGAAAAACTGCTGTATCAAATTTTTGCTTCAGCTCTAAACCGCGCTAGACACTGACTGCCGAATGGCAGGTAGGCGGAAGCCTTTCCGTCGGCTCTCGATTCGCCAAGTCGTTTCGCCAATGTCGCCAAAGCGGCATCTGTCATGAAGATTTTTTTAGTTGCTAAGATTAAGATCTATCTAGTCGTGTCGTTTTTAATTCCGCGGTCGAGGAGGGAAGAGAATTGTTTCCATCCTCCCGACTCCTGTATCGCGAGATCTGGCTATGTGGTAAACAGGGGCTACAAAAGGATTTTATTGAGCTGGCGTGATTGTTCGAGGATCGAATGTTTAATATTTTTTGCTTATAGACCGCTCGAGATTGAAAAAATATTTTTCGGATATGGAATATATCTTGCGGCCAGTATTATTCTTTTATTTATGCATTTCGTCGCCTGTTGCATTGGAATTTATTATATTTTCTTCTCTCTCTGTGTGTGTGTGTGTGTGTGTGTGATTATGGCAAAGCCTCGAGGGCTATCTGCCTAAGAGGAGGGATGCCTTCGTGGAGGACTTTCTAAGGGAAACTGGCTCGTATACACGTTACACATGGGGAAAACCACGAAAAGGCCCATGCAGCCAGCCCGTTCGCGGGATTCGAACCTCGGACCGAACTACCAGTGTTCAGCGACTTTACCGCTCGGCCGCTGGTGGGCTATATTTTCTTCTGAATCTTAGATGTTAATGCATGAGAAGTAGCGTAAATGAAATTTTCGTTATAGAGATTAGAGGAACTAAAAATTATTTTGTGTGTATTCTTCATCTTCAGTTATGAGATGCAAAGCATTGTGGAATATTTGTGAGGTTTTTCTGTGTTCACATGAAACACTCGCGAATATTATATATATAATTATGGAGTTTTTCTCAATAATTTTTTATAGAATAATCTAATCATTTATTAGTTCATAATTATTAATACGATCGTTTTCTGAATAGCATGAAACTGACTGTAAAAGTTCGGTTTCCTCCCCGCCGCTTCTCACCAGCTTACTTTATATCAAAATTTTAGTTGTGTTAGTTCACAAGTGCTTTTTTGCAATCGCAAATTTCAAATCGTGTGTTTTGCCGTAATCACATGTCTAACTTTATTCTTTCATTGCCTAAATATTTTTCATCTTGCAGCTAGTTTCAGCGTATAACTAGTAAAATAACATCGTACGACTACTTTTAGTACAGGTACAAGTATAGTCCCATGGCACTAACTGTACAGTTCCGCTCCGCTTGTAATAGAAAGCACTCCGGAGGACAGTCTGAGGGTCTCTCACCAGTCTCTCCCTACCATCAACCACTCGAGAGGTTTTTCAGCTTGCCAGTATTTCAAGTGCCTCCATGTCACGCAGATGCTATACATTTCCATGTCTCCTTCGGGATTCGAACTCGATCCTATCGGTAATGCAGCGAGCTTTAGTTTCACGAAGTTTGGTGCCATGAAAGCTTTCGATTGCGGTTAGGTCCAGATTCAAAAAGGGGAGGAAAAAAGATTAGGCCTACCACCGGTTGAGCTATAAAATTGCTGAATTATGGTAATACTATTCGAGTTGTAATCCTGCCGCATGGGAGTTTTCATGGTTTTTCGTGTGTGCAACGTGAGTAAAAGGTAGTTCCCTTAAAAGTCCTCGTTGAAGGCGATCCTTCCCTTAGGAAGACAGCCTTCACGCACTTTGACGTAATCTAAAATAATAATAATAATATGTGATTAAAAATTATCATTTTGAGGAGTTTGTTCAACTTAAGTCATGCTTCATGGCAAACATCCAACTACAGATGCAGAAATATTTTTTAAAGCTATTATTTCTGGGCAAATGCCACACAAAAATATACAAAAAGTAGGTACAAATCTTACATGAGAATACAAAATCGCTATTCGTGTTGATTTCTGAGACACAAAACCATCGTATGCTTTGCGTATGTGAACCAAAACGTTTCGTTCCTGAGTAAATTCTGGAATTATCGTGATAAATTAATTCAACTGTTTTTCCCCTTCCCTCTTTCTTTTGAAAGGATTTTTTTCCATTTCTTCCTGTCTCCTGTGCTTGTCGATTTGGATTTCATTGAATACATTATCTTATAAACTTTTATTCATTATAGTAAAGGACTAGAAAGCGAAACCGCTATAAAATTATTTGATAAGTATATGTTGCGCTACTATTATAAATCGTATTTTGTGCATTCATTGAAGTTAAGCAAGATGCATTCAAGCGTTAATGTACTGACATTCTAAAAAGCATCGCTTTAGATTTTAAAATATTTTTCAGTTGTAATTTAGAAAACGAATCTGATCTTTTTGCATTCAAATCATTTATAAGCATGTTCTGTGCAACAATAAATGTAATAATAAATTTTGTTTTGTAGATGCTTTTTGTCGTCACATCTGACAGACCTAAAAAGAAATTGTATAGACAGTAGATGGACCATTGCTGGCTCGGAGGATTGAACTTTTGTTCGCTAGACTATTGCTGAAACTTGCAGCGCATTTTAAAAGAAAAATAGAAGCCGAGTGAAACTGTCAGTTATGCTTCGGAAAATATCTTTTCATTCCCTCTTTCTTCCTTTATTAAATTCAAGAAAGTGAGCCAAGTAATTAAATAAGGCGTTTAAATTTCGCAATGCGAAAAAGGGTTCTGTGCAGAAGCGCAGTTCTTATGTGTCTCAGATCTCGTCCGCCTCGGGTCGGAGTAAAATTGGATTCCGCCCTTTGATTGTGTGTTGGGGGAGGGAGCACAAGGGGGAAAGAGGTGGTTGAATTTCTAGAGCGATAGAGTGGGAGAACTCCCCGAACTGCTTGTCTGCAATCCCCATAATCGCTTTTTTAAAACTTCTTGTCATTGCTTATCGATAAGGTGTCGCTTCTTCCCTCTGTGCCAAAATCTTTGAGGATATCGTAAAATTTTCATTTAGGTTGCGCGAGTGCTGACGACGGAGTCCCGATATTAAAAGGAGATCTTATGATGATGAATTGTAAAATGGTAGTGGCATTGAGAGGGGCCATTTCCAAAATCCGTTTCTTATTAAATGGGATGATAGATCATGTAGAGAGACAGTAATGATTGAAATTCTTATCCGTTTTGCAGTATATTGGGTTAGAATGCGGTGCAGCCTGAGATGAGTCGCTTGCAATAGTAGGAAACTTAAATCTGTGGTATTGGGGAATGTTTGTGTATTAGTAGGTAACACAAACATTCGACAGTACGAAGAATCATGTGTCAATCTTTATGCTGAAAAGCATTTGTCGCTTTAGAAATGGGAGAGGAATCGATGCATCTTGCTTAAGTTCGTTCACTTGATCAGCAGAATGTTGATTATTTATATTGGCTACGCGAATGAGATTAACAACTATTTATATTATTTGTAGTGAAATAATCTGCGTAGTTAACGACTGCTCAAAAACTCAATTTGCACGATGAAAGGCATACATTGTGACTGCAGTGCTAATTTTTATCGTAGAACTTTGACTATTGATAATTGTTACTACTTTCACTATCGTAGAACTTTGGCTATTGACTTGAGTGCCCAAAGATCGGCATGTAACAGCGGGAGTCTTGCCTTGTAAAAATTAATCATCATTTTCAAGACACAAGGTGTGTCGTATAGTGAGCTAAAATACTTTTCCTTCTCCTAATATATAAGTAGGACAAGTATCTTCGGATTTGTTTGTAATAGAGCACTTGAAATATATCTTTTTCTGATGCAAATACTCAAATCCTGGTGTTGGAGAGTGTATGGCTGTTAATAGGTACTATCCAAATTGGTAAAACTTTCATGAAGTTATTTGGAAGGTTAAAAAAAAACTACCTTGAGAATTTTAACCATTAGTAATACCATTTATTTTTTAGAAGAAAACGTATATGTTTAACATTTCTCATTCTGAATATGTGTATCTGCCCCTTTATCCATCCAAATGTTATAGGAGAGCAAGAGATCGTTTTAGCTATACGTGATTTAAAAGAAGAAATAGAGTTTTTTTTCTTTTGATCTGCCACATTTTCCTTCTCCTACTATCGTTTCAAATTTAGAATCCGGTTGCTTTCAGCGAATAGATAACGACCGGACGGGGTTGGGGAAAATAATAAATCCAACTAAAAGAATAAACAAGCGCTACTACTTACTCTCGCCGTACCCTCATAGCTTTTAAACGACGTCGTTGTTGATATTAAACTTTCGACTTTATTACAGGACGTGGCGTGCTTGGTAAAGGATTACGATTTTATTGCGAAGGCGATTTTCGAAAGCTTACAATTTTCTTTTTTATTATTTCTTCGAATTTCTTCGCGCCTGTGTGGTTTCACTCGGAGCATGCGCTGCATCGAGAAGTAGTTGCTGGAGCTTAATTTCCGTACAAGAGGTGCCATACAAGTCGTTTAATATCTTTAACGGCACATTTCTTCTGCCTTTTTTCTGAAGGTAAAAAAAGCTGAAATTCATACCGTGCATTATTTATTTAACTGAAGTGTGAAATGATTCTCATAAGCACACTTATCATAAAATGTCGATTAAACACACAATATGAATCTAACCACAAACAATACGAATCTAATTTTTAAAAGAATTTTGAATTCAGATGCATCGATTAAAGCTTTTAATTAAAATGTCTTGCAGAATGAAAGAGGAATAAACCGTTAAATTTATTACTTTCGAGCATAAAACCGCAAGACACATTATACTGATGTTTTTCAAAAATGAGATCTATTCTGAATTTCTGGAATTCGAATGCGTATAACAGATTTGAGTGTAATCCTTTAATCTAAACTGATTTCGAATGAAGTAAGTGGTACGCACGGACTTTTGCATTATTTTTTATTATATTAAATTTTTCCAAATAAAAAAGGGGGAAGAGAGAAAAAAATTGTTCCTGTTTTTTTCTTTTGGATTAACCACCAGTATTATTATTATTATTATTATTATGTTTTTTCTTTAGACGTGTTCACGTATAGAAATTTGTAAATAGAGGCCATGTTTGCTAAAAAAAAAAAAAAAAAAAAAAAAAAAAAAAAAAAAAATTAATGTTCCGTCGATGGAAGTTATAGTATGACCGTGGCGTTTGTGTGTGTCCCCCCTCCCAAGTTAGAAGAATTAAACGCAGGTGGAAGTAATTTCATTTAATCATTTTGTAAGTAA